CGATCTTATGAGGGCCCGAAAGTGGCCCTCCGTTTCAGGCTGAAAAGCCTCAGGGCTGAAAAGCCCTGTTTTAGGCTGAAACGACATAGGGCCTGCAGGCCCTCGTTTTCAGTCTTTCAGGCTGAAACGACACGGGGCCTGTAAGCCCTTATTTCTAGGCTTTTAGGCCTAGAATGCGGGACGGGCCCTGCAGGCCCATGTGGCTACGCAGTATGCCACAGTTTACGAGACAGTCCAATCTTCCCTGCAGTAACTGTTACTGTTGCAACTGTTACTGGAACCAGTTGTAACAGTTGCGGCCCTCGATGAATGGGCTGTAACAGTTACAGTAAAAGTAAGAGACAGCCCATTCTTCCAGGCCCGCAACTGTTACAGTAACAGCTGTAACAGTAACTGTTACAGCAACAGTAACTATTACAGTAACAGTAACAGTAACTGTTACCGTTACAACATACAACTGATTACAGTAACAGTAACTGTTACGGCAACAGTAACTGTTACAGTAACAGTAACTGTTACAGCAACAGTAACTGTTACAGTAACAGTAACTGTTACCGTTACAACTGTTACGGTGACAACTGAGTTACAGTAACAGTAACTGTTACCATTACAACTGTTACGGTTAAAACTGAGTTGCAGTAACGATACGAGACGGCCCATCCTTAAGCGGGACCCTGAGAGCATCAGCGAAGAATGGGCTGTCTCTTACAGTTACTGTAACAGTTGTGGGAAGTACCTGCTGGAAATCAGGTCCAACGTCCTGGCTGGAACCAGATCCAGCATCCTCTCTGGAACCAGGTACAGCGCCCATAGTTGTGGGTAGTACCTGGTGAGAGGAACCAGGTCCAGCACCCATAGATTTCCAAAACAAAGCAGAGAACTTGCCTGCTGCTACTCTGCAACAGGGACTGGTTGGCACTGGTTGGGGACGAACAGGAGAGGATTAACTGCCGTGCCATTTCAATGATCCATGAGTTCACACAACTCTCAAGTTTCAGAGATGCACACTCACAATTCCGTGCAAGGGCACCTCACACATGAGTCGCAAATTGCACGAATTCTTCACATGTTTAGAACTCAACTCTTGTACGTCAAGTCTCATACAGGTAACCGGACAGCTACGGACGCTAACACTCACACATGTATGTACCCCTCTCCCTCATGCTTAACTACTCCCAGGTCTCTCTCTCTCTCTGTTGCATACTTGCGAGTACTTCAACAAGCATGGGCAGAACCAAGAGATCAACCAATATAGGATGAGCATGTATGCAGTGGAAGTCTGATAAAATGGACTGACTCACATAGACTGACTCACACCGATGTCACTCCACACACAAACAATCGTGAGATGGTGGGGTCTGAGCCAATCATAGACGATGC